AGAATTGAACTGAGGAAAAAGGAAGGTAATGGGGGGGGGGGTAAAACACAGCCGAGGAGTCATGGAGGGAAGAAACTGCACACGCAAGTTTTTCATTTTATTTTAGCGCCAACCTGGCTTCTCACAGATCCGCCTGAGGATAGAGGATGAACGTGTTGAGTGAAGAAAATCAGAGGATTGCAGGATGGGAAAGGAAGTGGAGTGATTGTAATCTCTTTTCATATTTCGCGCATTTTTTAATTGTAAGCATCATGTGATTGCGAAGGGGCGAGGGTGAGGTAGAGGAGGGGGTCGAAAATGATCCCAATCAATTGATCGGAAAATTTTCTATGAAATTAAAAAAAAAATCATCCGATTTGGACCAGTAGAATGAGAGAAAATCCTAAATCCATTTTTGTGGATCATTCTCGATTGCTAGATCACTTTTAGATTTTTCTCTGTAACTCGGCTTCTATGGGGGCTAGAGCGATCGTTTTTTTTTTAAATTGCGGATAAATTTCCCGACCTATCGATTAATCATCGACCCCAATTTTTTGAGTCCCTTGAAAGGTTCAAGAATATAATTTTGGAGTGAAAGGGGAAGTGAAGTTTTTTGAGGCTTCAAATTTTTTTTCCAACTTTTGTGGAGCCAGTTTAGCCTTGCAGATTTTTTTGACAAGGTGATTAACATCCTCGGAGGGCTCTAGAGTGGTTAGCAGCCAGTTTTAGGGCTTTTCCCTCGGCCAAAAAACTTGAGCCGGCACTTATCATATTCCTTTCTGTGGAGTTGATATACGATCGTTGTGTGAAGAACTGCATAAATTTAGCAAATTGTTGTCCCGGCATTTTGCATTTTTTTAAAAGAGCTCAATCATCATTTTTTTACGTCTACGATAAAAATCATGGAAATAATGATCTTCCGTTGGATATTTTTTTTATTCCACGGAATATTATTGAGCTTTGGAATGATGAAAAGGATGAAAGGAAAAGAAATTGCAAAAAGTGGGAATGAAAATACCGGCAATCCTGCAGGCGCCCAAGACGAGGTTGGCTACGATATAAATAGAATTGCACTGCTGCAAGTGGATGTGGAGTAAAGAAGAAGACGACTTTGTAATGAAGGTGGAATGAAAACTGGTAGACTCACTTACCTAGACCACAGGGAATACCGGGAACATGGTTGCGAGGATGCATGCGAGTTATTTCCAGAATAAAAAACGGGTTAATTAACATATTCTCATTTTTTCCATTGACAAAAACTGTTTTTCGCCATTTTTAAGGATGGATAATTGCCGGCGACTAGCTAACTAAAAATAGGACGAGCAAATTTATCCGCAGATGAACAAAAAAACCGATACATTTTGCTTCAGTTGATCCTGAAAAAATCCCGATTCAATTCTCGTAGATCATTCATCGATCGCTTGATCCCTTTTTCATTTTTAACTGTACTTTTTGTTCTATGGGGACAATATGTGTCGTCTTTTTTTCAATTTGTGGGTAAATATTTATCTAAAAAATGAGGTCAATTTTCAATCCCTGTGATCAATAGATCGCTCGCCACCAGATGCATCTAAAAATAACCTCACTTTATCGTTAATTCCACCGCTCCTTTGTTTTGCATCGGTGTCTGGTGGCTCGGCAGGATGGAAAAAGAGGGCACCAGAATGCGGAAACTATTCAGCCGGAGGGAAATTAGATGGATAGAGGAAAATTCAGAAGCCGCTGGGCTCCGTCCCCATAAACATTATAAAGAACAAAAAAAAGAAGACAAAAATGCTAAGGGGGAATAAAAAAATGTTCGAGATGTTGATGCTCAACCGGTCTTGGGGTTTTAGCACATGGGTCGAAAACATTAAAATCAACGCTCCACCATTAGTGAGCGTTAAGAGTCTCTGTATGTGTCCAATGGCGCCATAGAATAATCAACCTTGTGGGTATTAGACGGTGGCATCTTCTGGTTTTGCAATAATTTCTTTTTATTACATTTTATTTCTGCTTTTCTCGTGCTATTTATAGATTATATGATCACCGGATGGGGTAAGTCGTCCAGCTGGTATGTAATGAGTTCATATGACGCAGATATTTATTTTTATTTTTTTTTTGTTAATTTGAAAAAATGTTTTCGGCTTCAGTTTGTTATTTTTCAACTCCACAATTTTTATGGAGTTTTTGAGAATTAATGACTAGGATGATAAGTTGTTTTTGATGATATGTCAAAGAGATGCCGATTCAACTAGTAAAATCGTTTTTATTAGTTACTTGAAAAGGGGTTTTGCCAGCGAAACAACAGCCGCTGGTGGCAGTTAACACTTGACGTAGTGTTTGAAACTGTAAATTGTATTAAATGTGTTAACAAAATCATATAAAATAGAATACTCAATGGCACCTGTTATTATTTATTAACTTTAATAAAATCAAATGAAAATTGTCGGCTTGCCTTTGCGATTGTATTCCTGGCAACGCGTTTGCAGGTCGCCGATGGTATCCGATAGATCTGATGGCTAACGAGACACTATAGCCGCCGTGAGAACGACCACACGGGGTGGTGAACAGAAATAGAAATGGTGTCAATGCACTCAAACTTGACTGAAGTCACTGAGACACTCGATTTTTCATTAATTTTCATTGACAAATTTTTTTTTTTTTACCATGGGAGAGAATCGAATTTGTGAGGTGAGACACACGTCTTATGTCTTCGCAACTTCCTCTCTGTTCCGTGACTTCCGGCTCTGATCAATCATCTGTCACTGCAGAATGCCCTCTCTCCACGGACGATTTTAAAACTTCCGAAAATTAAAGTCATGGAGGCTGTCGAAAATGCTCCCATTCGATAGATCCAGAAATTTTACATAAAATTGAAAAAAGACGATCTATTTTGCCCCAGTAGTTTGCGCAAAAATCCTGATTTAAATTTTATCGATCATTTTGACATTCTCCTCTGTAAATTGAATTCTACTTCCGCTGGATGAACGAAAAAAGACAACTCAGTTTACCCCAGTGATCTTGAAAAATTGATAAATCAATTTTTATAGATCCTTCATCGATTTCTAGATCATTTCAGGTTTTACGCTGTAACTCTGGTTCTAATGGGGCGATATGGCCCATTTTTTAAAATCAGGTGATAGATTTTCCAATCTATCGACTGGGGTTATTATCAGCCCCCCCCCCGCCCTTCCCTCTTTATTCACCGATGACGAAAAAATCGCTGAAACAAAAATGACCTTCATGAAATATCAAAAGAATGCAAAAAAAATTATAATGTTGTCACTGATTATCCTTAACGAATCGACTGGTTACTCATCATCACTGTTTCACGGATAATATTTCAAATAACCTTTCAAATTGGCACAATGATAATTGCAATTGTGGATAACTCGTTCCTCAATTAATGGAAATATAAAAGAGAATAATTTTTATGATTTCTTAGAAAATGATCTTTTTTAATATCCACTTGTGAATACTTTAGAACGTGTTTAGACTGTCTTGATGCGAATTTATGACTCATAGATGGGAGGGGGGGGGGATCTATGCTAATACGGGGATGAATGTTATGTAGAATAACGGAGAGAGGCCAGGTGTGTACAATACATCATCGTTTAAATGAACCATTCGTACTTTCTGAGGGGCAAACACAAATTTATGGAGATTATACCAGTGCCTGCGGCCTTCACCAAAGGACATACTCAACTCTCCACATACAAAATGCGAAATTACATTTCCAAATTTTCGGACTGCCAGTTTTTTATAAATTTTTCCCATTTTTTTAAAAGAGCGATCTAGCGATCGATAAATGATCTATGAAAATTGATTTAGGATTTTCTCATCAACTACGGGGGCAAAACGACTCGCCTTTTTTTCAACTAGTGGCACGTGATCTCATCTATCGAATGGAAAATAAAACAAAGTCCATTTTGCCCCTGTAGAGAAATGATCTAGCAATCGATAAATGATATATGAAAATAGCTCATGTTTTTGTTACTCTCGTGGTATTTTTCTGATCTGCAAGATCGGATTATTACCGAGCCCACGAGATTGATTGTTCGAGTGTTGAAATCAACAAGCGATTTTATGTTTTTTTCCCCCCGTCATCAACGGCGTCGTCGGGTCGCCTCCACGAGACGAGTGGAGTAAACTCACACGCGGTTTGCTCAGCAATTAGCCACCTTCAACTACTCATTGGCACGAACAGAGGCCACGGTGAGGCATTAGCATTTAGCATCGGTGTGTCTAGTAATACCGGCATCTTTTGAACTTGTCCTCGAGTGACCACTCTGCAGATAAAAATAAAATAGAATTCTCGAGGATGAGGGTGGCGAAGAAAGGAGTCATCGAACTTGGTGAATGTCTCGAGAGACCATTGAGCATCCTGGAGACTCAACATCGCTCCTTATCGCGAGTACACTTCAACTTCACTCCTTGAAGTAATTGGGAATTACACGAGAACTCGGAGTAATACTCCTTCTTTCCCACCACTTCGGCCAGTGAGGAGGTGGGGCGTTGAATCCAACGCCATTTTCTAGATCGGAAAATTTCATCTTTGGACTTTGAATAAAATCGATAATCAATTTACTATTGGGATCTACTGGGGCAAAATGGGTTATGAATGGGGTGTCAATTAATGGGAAATTGAGTAATTTATTATAAAAATCCCGAATTATTTCTCATAGATCATTTATCGATCTCTAGATCGCTTCAACATTTTCCGATATAGCTCAAGTTCTATGGGAGCAAAATGGGTCGTCTTTTTTTTGGCCTAGGAGATATTTTCCGATCTCTCCATCGGGGTTATTTTTGCAAATGCATTTTCAAACTTGCTGGATCACGATGAGTGAAATTACAAAGCTTCCCTTCGAAAGAAAAATTATCATCTTCAGAACCAGTTTTTCATAATCATTTTCATTCTAATTCTCGTCATCTTCGCGATGAATATTCAACATGCGGTACCAGTCGGTGCATTGGTTATTGAAAATTTATGTGTTCGTCTATTTTTAGTATTCATTTACAATTATTTTGCGTTGCAGTATCCGGTGACGATGATTAAGGAGGATGAGGATGGGGATGGGGGAGAAGTTGTCGGTGGGATTTTACCCGAGGGAATTGAGATATCTAGAGCATCTGAAGATCTTTTGCGGAGATTACTACAACCTGATCCCAGGGTTAGACTCAAATCGATCCTGGAGCTGCAGAGGATCGCCTTCTTCATGGGATTCATCGTTCGGGATTTCACTCTGAAAGAGGTAGGTGTCGGTTCTTTAAAATTTAGAGGGATCGGAGAGATTTCGATTTGGAGAGATCGGTTTCGGGGATTTTTCTTGTTGGTTTAGGTGTCACCATTCAGGCTTTTGGGGAGGAAATTGGCGCCCTGTTCTGGGCGTAAAGCTCCGGACACCTTCAGGGACTTTGACTCCTTCGTTGGTGGCAGTACAAACAGGAAGTGGGATTGAATCTCTTGGAAGGATATTTAAGGAAGGAAGCGAATACCTCATTTTTACTCATAGGAATATTTAATGGATTGTTGAGGTTGCTTGATATCACTGATGATTCAGTTCAGTTTTTTTCTCGAGTCCGGAATTTCGCTTTTGTTTAGATAAGTACACTAATTCATTGGTATTTTCATGTGAAAATACGACAATTGAAATAAAAGTATAGATTAATAAATGGGAAGGCCGTGCGGTAACTCAATAGAGAATGTTCCAACGAACAATATGAGCCCAATAACATTGGAAAGAGTGACTTAAAAAACGTTAATAGACTGAATAATTAGTAGTATTTGGACATCTCAACGAATGGCTGTTGATATTTATTGAATCGATGAATTTCAGTTGTGTTACATTCAACTGAACTTTATGAATAAAAGTCGAGTGGAATTTGTCGATTTGTTAATTATGATATTATCCCAGGAACTAGTGATTTTGAGGGAAAATGTCAGAAGACATTTTTTGTACAGAATTTCCTGATATGTAAAAAGCATCTTCTGACATTTTCTCTTTGAATCAATAATTACCGAGATAATTGCATACTGAAGTGGCAGTTCAAAACTGTTCAATCGACCTAAACGTGAAGACATGTTCAACGTTGGACATTTTTTGGGGAAAATTTCTGGTAATTCGAATGCATATAACATCACATCTAGCAGGAAGATAACAAGAAAGAAATAACACTCAAAAAATTCCGAAGAACACTTTTTTTTTCTTTGACGTCACTTGATCTCAGTTTACAAAAGTTTTTTTTTCATATTTTTTTCTCAATCATTTTTTTTTGTCCATTTTTGTCTTTAAGAATAGTTAACAGTATTTTTGTTACAATTATATCTCATTAATAATTCATACAATTAATTAATTCATTGCTATAGTCGATAGTGCGTAAAAACTAATAACAATGGAACATAATAAAAATAATAAAAATACAAATTAAGGATTAAAAATTTGATTAAAAATTTCTCATCATCAACTCGACGAATTACAAGTTTTCTTCCCTCGAGTTTTATCATTCCTCTTCAATTCTCGTCTGGGAGAGTGCATTACCAATGATTACAGTACAGTTATTATATACAGTAGGTGTTTTTTCTTCTCTTAAAAATTATTGAATTTTCTTAATCTCGATATAATACATTGTTTCGTTCATTCGAGAGAAATGAGGAAAAGAGTGAAATCCCCTTTTTCGGTTTTCATCGATATCGCGAGAGCCGCAGGGGGCGGAGAATCGGGGGTCTTGTCACTCGAAAGGGGGGAAAATTTCCAATCCAAACCATGGTACGCCCTTTTATAATCCATAAGTTCTCCTGATTTCACGATTTCGACGTGAAAATCTTGTTCTGACTGTATCTCTATAAATAACGGGGCAAAATGGATTTTTTCGTAATCTCGTCGGAAATTTCCCTGGCTTTCTAATGAGGTGTGACTGAAGGTCGTATGTCCAGTGGTTCTTGAGATATTTGAGAAAAATGTGGAGGTCATTATCATCACTCGTCTCCTCATTTCAGTGTGTCACAAAGGTCTTCGTAATTTTTTCTCTCGCACAACCTGGGGAGTTTTCTCTGGTGAAGGCTTCTGAGGGAAACAAAATGGCGACCGCTGAGGTGGAAGATTTTTAAGTAATTTTTTTCTCTCTTGGTTTTGGTTTTTTCAAGTTTTTTTTTGGGTTTCATTGAGAATTCAAATTTTTTGGGATTTTCCGGTGATCATTCGGAGGTATAAGGCGGCAGTTGAGAAAGTAGAACCCTGTGTCATTAAGGAGATGGGTATTTTCAGTGTTAAGCCCTCGACAATAATTTTTTTTGTCCATTTTTTAATGCTTTTAGGATATTTTCATCAGCAAAATGAGTGAAAAATGCATTTTCCGAGTTTTTCTTCAATTTTCGCCTGAATTTTTCTCAAAATTTCCATCAGTTTTCCCCTGAAAACCTTTACACCACTCCTCCCCCCGATTTGTACCTAAAAAACCAACTCTTTCTCTCCGGAAAAATCGCAAAAAAATTTAGTCAAGTAGTTTTCCACTATTTTTCCGACCTCAACTCGTGAATTTTCCGAGGCCTTCATAGCATCCACACAAATCCGCTCGCCCTACAAATTCATTAATTACTCCATTATATATATATATATATATATTATATATATGCAGCAAAGGTAGCATTTTAGCATTTCTTACTCTATCGCAAATTCTTTATATTATTTATAATTTATTTACAGAGAATCATCAATCGTTTTCCTGTTATAATTAATTGATCAATTAATCGTAAGTTTATCATACATTTTTATATATTTATATGTTTCACAAAATCACACTTTTTTTTCTTTTTTCATGCAGCCTGTGATTTGGGGCTTGGAAAAAAGAGAAAAAGAAATTTGTTCTAATGCTCATTAAAACTGTTTTTCACAAGATTTTTTTTCCATTTTGAAGATTTTTTTCTTTATTATTGCGACTACACAGTAGTCGTTGGTGATTGACCGATGGAACGAGAGCCTTTGAATACATTTTTTTGGGTTTTTTGGAATTTTTTTTTGTTATATTTTGTGAAGGGAGTGAAGTTTGAAGATTGAATTTTTTTTTTAGAAAATTCAATTTTCGAATTTCCACGAGTTTTTCATCATTTTAATATTAAGAACGTTTTTTTCTACGTCTCATCTACGGCTATTCGAACAGTAACTCCTCGATGATGCTGAATGATCACCGAGGAGGGGAGAGAATATTGAATTTACTTGATTGTGTGATTTGAGGGGACGAATGCATTTTCATCAATTTGTAATATGGTTTATTCATAAATAATGTTTCCTCGTCATGAGGAAAACTGAAAGAGATTGAATGATCGTCATGCTGTCTTTTCCATCATAAATTTCCCTGGCTTTTCGATGGGAAAGCCAGAAAAATTTCAAATCCCAAAAAAATCGATTGATCGCCCTCACAAATTGATGATAATGATTCATCCCCTTCACATTAATATTCCTCATCAACCCAGAACTCACGTCCAAAGATCACATGCATCATCCCTCATCCCCTAATACATAATTTTTTCATTATCAATAAATCCAAAATGGCCGCACAGAGAAAGCGCCTTACTCGTACAATTACGTCTCGTTGTTTTTTGTGTTCTCTTTAATAAACACAAAATTCATTATTTTTCTATTTAAAAATTGTTAAACTCACTTTGTCTCTACGGTTTTTCATCAATACCTCCAATGACTGAAAAACATCGAAAATGGCTTTTTTTATTAAAACAAATTCATTTTCCATCTTTTAATCATTTTTTTCTGCTTTTTCGGTTTTAATTGAGTATTTTTTTTTTTGTTTAGAAAAATTATAGTAGTTGTTATCGACGTGACGATCAATTCAATGATTCATCACTGATTTGCTTGAGGAATTTACTTCTTAATCAATTGGTTGATTGATTAACCAAAATCAATAACGTAACAACTTTTTTTTCAATTAAAATTTATAATCGTGCGATATTTTACTCTGTTTCTGTACATTTCATTGCACAATATGCATTGTTTATTCATCGTTGCGTGCCGACCACATTTCATCGCATTGCATAATTAAAGAATAATTAATTTTAGTTTCAATTGATTTGAAAACTGAAAAAATGAGAATTTTTCATTGTTTTCTTTTTTTGTGAAAACTGTTGAGATTAATTGATTTCTCGTGGTCTTGAATGGTTGGTAATTTGTTTAAATAATTATAAAATTAATTAAAACATTGCTTTTTGTATTTTAATAATTAATTTCAATGAATTTTCAGTTAATAAAACTGTTCATTCAATTCTGAAGTGGTGAAGCGTGAGATTTTTTTTTTTGTTTTGTTAATGGGTAAGTTATCTCGGTAATGTGGGGTTTAGGGGGTAATGTCACAAAATGCTTTTTGACATTTTTCGTTAAGAGCGATGATTTTCGAGATAATTGCAAAAATAAGAAAGAAGAAGAATGTGAAATCGACAATTTAGGAATTTTTTTAGTTTTGTCTTTGGAGTCGAAGGTCAAATGATATTGCGGGGCAATTAGGCCCTCAACTCAAACAAAAAAAAATCTCTTGACGTCTTCCCCAGCCTCACCACTTAATCACCAAATTCTTTTTGGAAGACAACTCCAAAACCCAAAAAAATTCAAATAAAAATCAACGATAATTCCCTCAAATAATCATCAATAATTAAAATCCTCAATAACTAATCAAACACTTCCTCCCCAAAATTACGAATAAATTCAAAATCGTACAGAAGAGAAAATCAACTCACAGGTCCAAAAAAAAAATGGCGAAAAAATGAATGGAATGATTAACAAATTTTCCCTCTTATCTTTTGTCAATAAAAAATGTCAACTGACTGACGAATAATTCCTCGTGATGTTTATCGATCGATATACCGATAAAATGTGCCAATGTATTTTCATATTCGGGTGGATGCATCCCATGAATATTGATTTAATTCGATAAACCAACGCGATAATGGACTCACCACCCTATCACATCATTAATCATCATCGCGAACGCAGCAGCGGACGTAACAATTGGTTTGAGAGGGTTGAATCGAGGAGACTGAGGGTCTCGGCTCATTTTTTCCTCCTTCTCTTGTGTCTTATGTACCACAATTGCGCCACAATAACGCGTCCACGATAACTGCACTACACTTTATCACCTCTACACATTGCGATTGTCATGGCCTATGGTATCTGTAAATAAAAGAAAATGTTGATATCATTTACTTGATTATTAATGATGATGGAAAATTTATTTTCTAATTTTTAAAAATTCAATTAAAACTGATTTCTTGGAGGGGTGAGGGGGTCTCAGTGTTCCCACGGGATTAAGCACATATTTATGTATTTTTAGGCAGTATGTTATTAATATTACCTAGTAAGGTGTCGACTCTCTTCGTGAACTGCCATTTCCGAGCTTTTGAACTCGTTGAGCTCCTTTCGTATGGCCGCCTTGTCCTTCTGCGTCAGTCGGGTCCACGGTTTATCGGCTCGCCTGTCGTAATCGTGGGCCTGGGTCACCTCGATGTAGTCATTGAATCTGATAATCTAAAAGTTCAAAAAAGAAATTTTTTTTTCAATCCAAAAAAAATTGTCGGAGAAAATAACACGAAGAATGAATATAATATGAACAAATTCAGGCTCGATTGAATTTTTTCTTAATAATTTTCATATTTACCTTCTTCTCCTTGAGCTCCTCAACCGTAGGCCGAAAACTCAATTTTCTAAGCAAATAACGCTTCTTCTCCTCCTTCTGTTTCTTCTCCTCAGCCGGGCTTTGTTCTAAAATAAAATGGTCCAACGTTTCACTCGTAAATTCAAGTTTATTTGTTCTCGAATGAACTGCTGGTGAGAAGTAATGCGAAATCATTTTTTTGTCCAAACAAATGTTGAATCACTTCTTTTATTTTATGTAGAATTCATTTTTTCACGTTTTTCGAGTTGGAAAATCAAATTACATAATTCTTTTGATAAATTCTACATTTAAAACGAGATACTCATCATGAACAATTGTATTTTTAATTTTATTCAGAGTTTTAATCCATTTTCAGTCTTTTTTCAATTAAAAAATTCATTTGTATTGATTTTTCCACTGTAAACACCCAAAAATTAACTGCAAAAAATTGTATTTTACGGACAGTAAACAATTATTAACTCACAAACCAATATTTTCTTTCAATCATTACGACTCTGTGATTTTAATCAATTTCTATCCATTTATTTTCGTTAAATTCTACACTTTACTCTGTTTTTTAATTAAAAAAAAAACAATATCTCGTCACAGTTTCAATGAATATTGAAATATCCACCTTTGAATAAATAAGAAGGTTTAAAATAACGAGTGAAAAATAACATTTTGAAAAAAAATGATGATTTCTTGAAAATAATCAGCGATTAATTGAAGTGACGGATGAACTGATCACTTACTCTTCAAAATATTACGTTCCTCCAGTTCCTCCTGAGTCGGTCGCATGCTAAGCCGCCTGCAAAAATACACAAACACAAGCATCCTCTTATCAATCCTCCACATGAAATGTTTCTTATCATCATTACGAGAAGAATGAATGAGTGAAACTAAAATAGCAACAAATGGTATTAAAAAGACGACGAAAATAATTCCGGAGGGAATTGTGGGTCAGGGGTTGCGAGTCTCTAAAGGACGAAAAACAAGGTGATTCTCGGGTGATAATTAGTGATAACGAGTGTAAACTACGTAATTATGGTAATTATCAATGAGAAAGTAGCAACAGGCCATTTAATTATTTTTTTCAAATGTAATTATTGTTGAAACCTACCCATTGACATTAATTCAAATTCAATTCATACATTGATTTTCCAAATTTTCTTTTTTCCCACGATAAGTGAAAAAAATGTGAATTCATCGAATGATGGTTTAAAAAATTGTTTCGATGTCCCTTTGAGCAATAGTAATAATCGTTGTTTTGATTTATAGAATAATTTTAAAAAATTCCGTATTTTTTGAACATAATAATTCTGGGGATGTCTTTGTATATCATGCTTCAAATTAATTCACTCGTAGCTCAAAATATTTTTTTCTTCATAATCTCTCATTCCAATCGGAATGATTGAGTAAAGGGAATATTTTATGGGGAATTATGACTGTGGAAGTTGCTGTGAGGATTTGATTGATGAATTACCTGATGAGCCGTGCACCAATGGCCTCTTTGCTCTCCTGTCTCTCATTGTCAGACTGTATTTGCAGAATATTACGGTTTATGAGCTCCTGTCTGTCTGGCCGCAGTGCAAGTTTCAGTGACAGTGACTCCTTGCGTGCAATCTTGGCTTGAAGTCGGCCTGCAGAAGAGATAAACAATTACTCTCGGAGCTCAAACAAATGGAACGAGTTTCCTCTGCATCTTCAATTTCAAGAGAATTCCACCCACTCAGTCTTTCCAACTATTCCAACAAACGGTTGTGCATATTGAATTTTTTAAAAAGATATCTCGGCAATTTGAGGGGTTGGGGGGATGGCGAGGGGTTTCATTGGAAGGTAGGGAAAATTTGTGGTGGAAAACACTGGGGGATGGTTCATTCAACCCCACAACTCGACGAGACACCGAAAACAATAATTTCCCTCGAAAATAGGATTTCCTCGTCGTCAGGAGAACTTGAAGAGATTGAGTCATCGTCACGCTGTCTTTTCCATCGTAAATCTTACTGACTTTCCAATGAGCTTATTCACAATTTTCCACCCCTCGAGCACCCCAGACATCCCTAAAAATACCCCATAAACAGAGTTGAATCACTCAACGAAATTCTAATTTTCACGAATAACTCGAGAGGCCTGAAGAGGTGGATTATTGAAAATACTCTCATGAGAGCGCCAGGAAAATTAACGATGAAAAGCTCTGCAGGACGAGCCATATTGCCCCACAATCGAGGGGTCGTCTCGCTGTGTTTTATTTCATCAGAAATTTCCCCGCCCCTCCACGTTCTCAAGATATCCCCAAAATATTCACACATCAAATACACTCTCTCGAAAATTCTACCCTCGATCTCAGAACAGCTGACACTTCTCTGCAGCGGCAACAACTTTTCCGGCGATTGTAGTGTCGCCTGGGCGATCGACAGCGTCGATGCTGTCCGTATCGACAGCATTTCGTCATCTCCAACTGTCAAATATCCGGGCAAAAATCAGTCAACCGAATGAACGAGAAAAATCACGATTGAAAAAGTTGAGAGATGATGCATTCAATGCGCCATGTCGAACGCAACTGAACGTTAAAAACCTCACGTTCAGACAATCTTCGTCGACCAATATAAACTTTCAAGGCGCCGAGTCATCCCATTGGTAATCCGTGGGCAGATGTGTGTACAAGTGCAGTGGAAAACTCTCCCATCCCTACTACTTTATCCTCGAATGAGGTATAATTAGTTTTTCGGAGTACTCGTGAAGGCCTGATGCTGAGGTGTTGGCCCACTCCACTGCCAAAATATGCGGAGGTGGGTTCACTATTACGTTTCACATTCCTCACAGTCAACTTCCTCTTCGCGAGACGAATGAGCTGGATGGTTACACCTCACACGTATCAGAGAATAATGATATCAACATCCCAAGCACGTTATGGAGCACACGCATCAACATCGCGAATGAAAAAGCAAAAGCCATCATAGATATTCATAATGCAGGCCCCACTCATATCGCCAAATTCCAAGTTACTCTAAACGAATTATCTCCTCCCTCCGGTTACATGACTAAATAACACAGTGCAGTAATAGCACAAGTCAAAGTCAACACAGAAAAATATATTGGGGTCTTTTTTGGGGTCCTATGCCAGCCACGTTCTCGACGTGGATCCTGGGTAACGCCAAGAACTCGTGGGGTATGAAATTTAATTGCCTCGCCATCCTCGTGAATTTACAGAAGAAACTGCATTTAATTTAATTTTTAAAAATTAATTGCCTTTAGATGGAAGGTGGTGACAATGGGAGGTCTCGGTCATCTACCTGGTCATTCATATCACTATATGTGGCTACACCACAAAGAGTTTAAATTCACAAACTGGCAGCCTAGTCACGACTTGGTGGGATTAAAAATCAGAATTTCAAGATGGTCAACTGGCCGTAATTAATATGTCACCGCAATACTCAAGATATAGATTTTTTACTGTTCGATTTCCCCTACCATCAGCATGCATTCTATTTTGTAATTCGACCCTCTGTTATCTAAATAAAATCCAAACTCCATGATATTAGTTAGTAAAAGCCCATTTAGGGTGACACTCACTCTCTTCGTCCTCGTAATCGTCTCTGTAGAGTACTTGACCATCGTCCGAGCCATCCGAGTCCTCCCTGATGACGTAGGGTCGCGCATTCTCCTTGTTCTCGAGGGTGCAGGGCAGTGCGAGACCGAATCTCACAGGTCGACTGCTGCAAATGGAACATTAAAAAAAAAAGTTAATCCATCGATTTTAATCGGGGATTGGGGTTGAGTGAGCCCGGCGAACCACAAATGTTCCAGGATCCGTTAAGAGGATTGATGAGATGTTCATGAGGCGGGGGTGATGAAGTACTACAGAACATTTTTGTTTCGCCAGGGCTCGAGAGTAAAAAAACCGGGGATTAATGAAGTGAAACGGCGGTAAGAAATTAGTGAGTACTTGTTTGATAATTTTCTTCAATATCTCGAGAACATGAAGAGGCAGATGATTGAGGGAAATTACCGATGGAAGAAAACACAGCAAGACGAGCCCTCAATCGCTTCGAGCACTCGAGTCGCAATGAAAAAAGGTTTTCCCCCTCGAAAACTTGTTTTCGTCGCATCTTCTCAAGTTGTAGGGCCATACGGCTCGTCCTGCAGAGCTTTTCATCGCTAATTTCCCTGGCTCACTAATGAGACTATTTTCAATAATCTCTTCATTGAATCATTGATTTCATTGATGTTTTCGTTGATGAGTGATTCAACCCTGTTTATGGGCTATTTTTAGGGATATCTGGGGATGCTCAAGGGGTGGAAAATTGTGAATAGGCTCATTGAAAAGCCAGGGAAATTTACGATGGCAAAGACAGCGAGACAATCACTCAATCTCTTCAACTTCTCCTGACGATGAGGAAATACTATTTTCGAGGGAAATCATTGTTTTCAGTGTATCTTCTCACATTGTGGCGCTGAAATTTTTCAGGCTTCCCAATAAGAAAATTTCAATAGAACACCTGTTCCACTTCATCAAAACATCTGTTAATGTTATGGATTCATGCGAAGCGAAATTAACATAATTAACGTAAACTAATTACCATATTCTCACCCTAGGCCTTAGCGGAGGCCTTCTGCAGTCAAGCATAAAGAGAGAAAGTAAAATAATGATTGGTTTACTAGATGATTGATTATGACAGTGAGATGAATCATGACTGGATCATCTTTCAATTTTCTTCTAATTAATCTAATTGACTGGTCTCTGAAAAACTCACTTGAACGAGGCGTGCAGCTCCTGACGGAGTGTCAGGGGTCGATTCTCCTGGGTGGGAGTGCTCTGGGGTGTGCCAGGACCACTGCCCGAGCCCTTCTTCTTCAGCGCACTCTTCAGGGGCATTGCATGAAACTTTGGCTCTTTCGCGGGTATCTCCTCCACTCGCGATGTGTCGATGCTCGGGTCCGGCTGGGAGTAACGGATTTCATAGAGGTCCACGTCGTCCTCATCAACATCCACTTCGTCTTCATCTAGTTTTACATGGAAAAACAGTTGATGTGAACAGATTTTTCATTGCTGTTGATGATTAAAGATGATTAGACGAATGATGTCTCATGACTGACTGACTTTTGACTGATTTTACGAATAATTTGTTGCATTATAACTTGAACGATTGAGAAGTCATTTCAATGACTTGGTCCAGTGATGGTGGAGTTATTAATGAGGGATTGTGTTTTGACACTTACCATCATCTTCACAGTCAGACAGCGGCATTTGCTGCTGTCTCTGTCTAGCCAGCAATGTCGGACTCGGTGAGCTGAACATCGGGGGTGGTGGAATGGGACCAATTTCACTTAATGGAATCGGTGGCTCCGGCAACTCCGACAGCATCAGAGTATTGTGAGGTGGCATCGGTGACATGTATCTGTCAATCGCCTGCTGCTCCTCAGCTGTCGGTTGCAACATTCCTTTTTCCACTGGTAAATAAAAAGCATTTTCAGGTTTAAAAACCATTCGGAATAGTTTTTGAATTTCAGCCTGCAATCATTGGATTCGTTTTTGGCCCATATGGACTTTTCCATAATCATGAAATGAAAGTCTTCATCGAATTGACAATTATCTCGATAACGAATGATTTTAGGAGAAAATGTCAGATGAATGTTTTTGTGGAAAATTTTATTCTCTACAAAAAAGTTTTTGTGACGCTTTCTTCTAAATCCAATCAATCACGAGATTTTTTGAAGTTAATGAACAACGAATTGAGCTCACGTACTTCGAACCATCAATAGCCGCCTGGTGAGCATTCTGGATGCCTCGAGGGTCCTCGGCCTGTTCGGCTTCTGATCCCCCGATTGTCCTCCCACATCCTCACTCGATGCAAGCTCACCACTTGGTGATAATGCCCCATTCGCACTCTGTTCAGTCTTTTCCTTTTTCGGCTCTGTAACAGTAAAAAAATAAAACACAAAAAATTACAACACATTTCATGTTGAAAAAAAATATCTTCCAAGAAAAAACATTAAAAAACAAACTAATCAGCATCATTTTTTCTTCAAAAAATTTTTTTTTTCTGAAATTTCTTTCGGAAAAAAAATGTCGACAACTGAACATTTTTTTCCCAATTCCAAAGCTCAAATTTCAGTGAAAAGTCAATTCGCAGTTTTAGTATCAGCACTCTCTATAACACTAGTTTTTTCATCTCTTCCCGCCCCCACGTGTTTGTCTCTCGTTGGAATTTCATTGGCACAAATCCAAATTGACGATAGCCATGCCCCAGAAAACCTAGTGAAATTCATCAAACTACATTGGCACGAGTGAGACAGAATTTACGGTCATTCCTTCAATATTTTTTTTTCCCTTCATTTTAATTTTTTTGTTTGCATTTTTTTCTCTCGGTAATTGTCGACTGTCCCCGAGAATCGATGTCACCCTAACCGCCCATCTGCGGTCCGACCGCGTTAACGAGTCTGGACAAAGCGGCGGGTGGCTGGGGGGGGGGAAGATTTATATACTGCTAATCCTGTGATTCAAACGATGAACTTTGGGGCCGGCTATCATTGGTTTTCGAGCACGATACAATTTTTTAACATGCTCTATTGATGAAAGTTTGAAGAGGGTTACTGATTGGTGGAGTTGGGGGGTCGATGATGCCCCCAATCGACAGATCGGCAAATTGCAGGCGAAATTGAAAAAAAAAAATGACCCGTTTTGGCCCAGTAGATCCGGAGAAAATCCTAAATTAATTTTTGTAGATCATTCATCGATCGCTAGATCATTTGCACACGATCGTGGCAGAATAGGCCGGAGATAATTTCACCGGAGAGCTGGGGGTATTTTCCTTCGAGTGGAAGACAGCTTATTTTGCCCAAGTAGATCTCCCAAAAATCCTAAGTGATTCTGTAGATCATTTTAGATCATTGACCGCTAGATCACTTCCACATTTTTCGCTGTTCCTCCGCTCCTATGGGAGCCTAATGGATCATCTTTTTTTCAATTTGTGGGTAAATTTTGTTATCTATCAATTGGGACTACCATCGAGGCCGTAGCAACCCATTCTGTCTCCATAGTAAAAAAAACACGAGAAAACATAATTTTTTTTAATGAAAAAAATCGCAAAATGACTTATTTTTGAGTTTATTTGAGAATGAATGTTCCGCACCAGATGATGGGGTCATCAACGACCCCATAAATAGTGTATTCCAGTGAAAAATGTTCGCGATTTTGTTATTCATTACCACTCCCACCATTTTCGTCTGCAATACACGCCATCGATTGCATCAACTATTTTATGTCGGCGTTAAATTTTCCAAGATCGTTCCCAGGGGTGAGCATTAGAACAACTAACATCACCCGCGCAACGATTGGAAGTAAAAATAGCATCACCAGCTGGTGTGAAATAATTTTTCTTCACTTCAGATGAAAATTGAGTCTATCTTTCATTCTCATAATTGTCATTGCGAGGGAGATAGGTGGGTGAGAGAGAGGGGGGTCATAGGATGACCTTGACCGATTTTATGCCACCGTGGAAACCAGACACGTGGGGGAGGAATGCTAAATTTCTCTAAAAATAAAAGTGGCATTTCGTTGCCGGGGGAATAGTTGACTTAATTATTCCGAGAATTTCCATGTGAATTGTTTCATTTTCCAGACAAACAAATCCCGTGTTTTTCAAACAAATACACCCACGGGAACAATTAACTCTATTGGTGTATCGAAAAAATGTGTGATTGCATTTGAAAGGGAATTAAAAGGAAACATTGGATGGAAATTTGATTTTCCCCGGATAATAGCCGGAGTAGAACCGCTTGGTGTCAATTTCATTCGATAGTCAGGAAAATTTGAGCGGGAATTTAAAAAAAAAGATTGATTTTGGCCCAATTGTTTGGGAGAAAATCCTAAATGTTTTTTTTGTAGATCATTGATCGATTTCTAGATCATTTTCACGCCGCGAGGTAAATTGCATTGGATGGGCAGGAAATTTTGAGGTGAAGGTGAAAAAAATTATTAATTTTGGACCAGCAGTTTAGGAGAAAATCCTCAGTCAAACTTTAATCGATCGTTTATCGATCTCTAGATCATTTTCTCATCTTTATCTGTAATTTCTGTTCTATGGGAGCAAAATCAATCTTTTTTTTCAGACAAAATGGAGAAAATCATTAAAGCGGAGAAAAAAAAATTGCCGATCACAAAAAAAAATTTCCCTCAGTATTCTCCTAATGGCGACCTGCCCCCATCGGATTATATCCAGAATGTTAATCCCCAAAACGAATACCACGGTATAAAAATAAAAAAATGAAACGGAATTTCCAACGAACGGCCAACGTTGCGAATGAGCGGAGAGGAGAAACGTAAAAACGATTAAAAAAAAAAATAAAAAATGAAGAGCATTAAAACAAAACCCCCGTGTCGTTACCATCTGTCGACAACTTTTTATCCAGCACTAGTGCGCAGCAGCCTCGACGATTAAAATGTAATTCGCCGTACCAAGCTCTTTCTCACTTCCCTAATATGCACTTTTTCCCTCATTCTAATTCTTGGTTTACTTTTTAACACTTTTCCGCACATTTCCGTGAGCTTTACAACCTTGGTACGATGAATGCATCCATAATTCAAACGTTTTTCCAACTTCACAAATCGCATCAAGTTTTTATTGCGCGACAAGATGTATTCTCCAGATTCTGGAGAATTCCTTCGGTTTATTTGGGTCATTGTGTCCCCGTATTTCTGGTCCAGAGGTGATCTTATCAGTTTTTATGCGGCTTCTAAAGAGGTGGATGTGGAGATGTGAATAATGATAGAAGATTTTTGAAGGATTTTAGGAATATTTGTGGGGATGAATCGCGGTGTGGTGATTCAGTATTGATTCTATGAATTCTTTAGATGATATTGTGCATGCGATTGATTTTAATGATTGAGTGATTTACTACTGAATTTTCAATGTCGATCAGATGACTGATGTAGGATGTCTGATTGGCTTTATGAATCATTTGTTGCATTCTCATGACGTCATCAAGTGTTCAAAATGCTTGGATAGGTCAAACATGTAGCTCTGTTTTTTTATATGAAAAGTTTCATGCCAAGTTGCTCATGAACTTGAACCCCTCAGCCAACAGGTCGCCAACCCCACGCATCCACGCTCGGGGGCAAAATATGATTTACATTCATCGAAAATACCTCACCAGTGAATCTATCCCCCTTCTTGTACCCAGGCGGTAGAAAATCAGCAGGTGGTGTTATAGGTGGTGCTGACTCCCAGCAAGGTACAATATCGGATTGTACTTGGCACTGATTGAATGCCCCTGGCAATTCCAGCGCTTTGTGCTGCTTATCGCACCGCCGACGACGTCTTCCATTTGGACCGAACGTCTTGACAGCCGCCAAAAAACTCACCCCGCTCATATCCCCAATTTTACCCCCTCTATTTTCACAAACTAAGAAAAATATTCTCGATTATTTGTTTTCCTAAAAATCAAGTTTTTTCAATTTCAGCAATTGAAATGTGAGTTCCGGGGTCGATAACGACCCGAGCAGATATCCAGGGAAATTTCAGGTTGAAAACCCGACAACACGAGCTCTCTACCCCTTCCCGCAATTTTCAAAAAAAAATCGAAAGAACAATATTTACACCTATCCTCTTATTTCGCCGTTTATTCACCAACCAACGAGGCAAAATGGGCCCTTATGTTTTCCATTCAATTACAAAATTCCTCAGCTATCGAACGAGCCCCCATTCGACCCCCTCAAAAAAATGACCAAAAGCTCAAAAACCTAAATTTTCAAAAATTTCAAAAATCGAAATTAGAGATCCTGCGGTCGACAATAAATCCCACCGGGTAATCAGAAAAATATCTGAGTGCACTCACCGACAGACTACCCTCCTATGCCCCAAATTTCTCGAAATATCCCAAAACCAAAAGTCGCTCTTATCCCCCTATTTCGCTCTTTATCCACCAACAAGTAGTGCAAAGCGACTTAATAACTTTTCAATTCTATTGTAAATTTCCCTGGCTATCCGACGACCCCCCCCCCCTCGCCCCCTCCTCAAAAAAATTGCGAAAAACTTGAAAAACCGCAAAAGCTTATTTTCCGCAAATCAAACATATCCAAAAAATTCCAAAGAGAGTGCCCGATAAATCGTGAAAAAGGGATGAAGGACTGGAGAATTATTTACAGAGACTGTTCCACGAGTCACGACTGACATGAACTGACTGTCAAAGCGTCGGTGAATGCCTGAGCAAAAGCTCGAGAGCGGCTCGAGTTGCATCTGCGCAACTCCGAGCGATGGCGCTGCGTACCACAGATGTGTGGGCGCTTGCGAGGGCCGAGTGGGGGTTATGGAAAAGGTGGAAAGCATTGGGTAGTGGGAGGGGGGAGGGGGCTTGCAGCCGGGAACAGAGGACCGATCGTTACGAGGAAAAACTAGAGTTTGAAACGAGAAAAGCTCGACTCCCATTCCTAGAGCTTTTTTTCAACACAAAGGGATAGATTTTTTTATGCTGAAGAGAGACAAATTATTGATTGTATGGGATGGACCTTGGAGAGTCTAGGGGATGAAACGTTGAGAATTTTTTTTAGGGGAAATTTATGATGCGGGAGGTATTGGGGAGCTTTTTTAGGGTTGATTATCTTTTTTTTCCTAGGGGAATAATGATTTTTTTGGACGGGAAGGGTTGAGTTTATTATTCTGGGGGTTTTGGGGATATTTCTTTGAGTTCGTTGGGAAAGGGCTGGAGGTGTAGCGGGGCTGAAAGGGTCATGAGGGTCAAAAACCGATGAGATGAAATTTTATTGAAAAATTGGTGAAAAATCGCATGGACGAGGTTCTGCCCTTCAAGGGTTCAAGGGCCAGATCCAAGGGTCAAATATAATAAAGTTAATAAATCTTACGAATAACGGATCGTCTTTTTCATTAATTTTCGTGGAAAATTTTCTAATCCAGCG